CAACCTGGCCTTGAACACTGCCAGGGATGGGGCAGCCACAGCTTCTCTGGGCACCCTGTGCCAGCGCCTCAGCACCCTCACAGGGAAGAGCTTCTGCCTCAGAGCTCATCTCAGTCTCCCCTCGGACAGGTTAAAGCCATTCCCCTTGTCCTGTCCCTACATGCCTTGTCCCAAGCCCCTCTCCAGGTTTCCTGGAGCCCCTTTAGGCACTGGAGCTGCTCTAAGGTCTCCCCTTCAGGAGCCTTCTCTTCTCCAGCTGCCCCAGCCCAGCTCTCTCACCCTGCTTCTTGTCCTTTTACACCTTCCACCTGATCTGTGAAAATTACTCACTGCAGGTACTTCCATGTGGGAAAATTCTCCTCCTCTTCACAAGCCAGATGGACCAGTGTGCAGCTCTTGGTAAAGTTTAAAGATATGTATTTTGAAATACTCTTCTGTTAGAGCAGATCATCCAGGAATCTGAAACAACCATGTCTGGAATCTGCCTTTAATCCCACATACCTCGTGAAAGCCGTCGGACCCTTTGTTGCCACCCCTGCCCCGTCCACGATCTTTACGCTTCAGTTTCTTTTGCATCCCACGTCCTCGACCAATATTGTAGTTATTTCCTCTTTGAGAAATACCTGGAAAACAGAAATTACCTCTTTAAATGACCTCAGAAAGTAAAAGACAATGGTTATCTAGTGACAGTGAATACAGACAAATCACACTAACCAAGTATCTCCCTCTTTGCAGCCTAAGTCCTGTCTTGAATGACGAGCTGGCAAATACAACCGCACCAGCCAGCTGTGACCCTGTGCCTGCTCCTTGAAAAGCTCTTCACAGCAGCAAACTGAATCTAAAACCAATCTTGTCGCAAGCAGCACTCACAATTAGAAGTGCACACGTGTTATTTCTAACTAGCCCAAATACTTGAGGTATTTTGTGCTGTTTGGTCACTTTCTGAACTCAGAACTAAGGGGTACAACTGGCACTGCTTGTGGGTGCATGATTTGTTGTCACACCATGCAGGAAACCTGAGATCATAACCTAAGGAATGAGACAGAACAGCTTTGAATACAGACATGTTTAATAGGGACTGTCTAGAAGGCTCAGACTGCAATGATGCAGCCAGCAGCACACCAGGAGCCATGGGCTCATCTAAACCCACCCAGACAGAGTATCTGCTTTCTCATCAATCTCAACCCAAAGACAACCAGTTAGAAAGTTCTCACTTCAGGTGGCAGACACCCTACAACAGCAAGGCCAGCTCCAGTGAAAACACCTTCACTTCATCTCAGGTGACTTGCAGGCAGAGATTTAGAAGCAGTACTGCCAAGCAGCACATGAAAAGCCGTTTCTGCCTCAGCTAAAGAGGCCCTGACAATCTGTCATTGTGAATAAACTGGATACCATAAACCTTCACTGGAGTAAATGAAAGACAGCTTATTACCTTCGTACATCACACGGTACCTTCCTGAGAACCACTATGGTATTCATGCTGTCATACAAAACCCTGCTCAAACTGACTGGGAGTCAGGCTTTTAGCCATGATTCAAGGGAGAATTCCTCCTTGAGAGGAGTAGTTTTTAACTGGGGTTTGTATCAGCCCAGCTTAAATGTAAGAAGAGTTGTGAAAAGGATATAAATAAATATAAGGATAAATAAAAGGATAAATATAAA